TCATCTTTGTCACACAGATGCTCAGACTTAGGAAAGTGTCCTGCAAACACTCTGCCTTCTTCCTGATAGATCAACGAGCACGGATGGTATTTGGTAGCACAAACTGCATCCACAAACACAGGGCAGTGCTTTCTCCCATACCTCCTCAAAATAATAAATAAATAAATAAATATAGAGATAAATAAGTAGATAGATAAATAAATAAATAAATGAAAAGGATGCTGTAAAGGACAGCAGCTCTGGCTCCAGACCTAAATGCCACCTAAAGCCACAAAGAAAATGAAGTATTTCCAGGCTTGCAACAGGCTTTGTTTGCAGAGAGCATCATCGGCCAGCTTATTTTCACTCCCTCAACTGAGTAAACTGCAAACAAAAAAATAACAAAAAAAAAAAACTGAGCTCAGGATGAAAAGTCACCTTGGGCTTTACTTGGGTCTAATCTTCATATTCTGTAATGCTCTGAGGTATCCTCTTAATATATTTCTCTCCTGACTGTGTTTTTTTTTCTTTAATTGGGACTCATTTCACTTGAAGTCTCTCCAATTACTTCTAAATCAATTCATTCCCCCATCTCTGCCAGCAGCAGATTTCCAGTAAAGGCTCCTCAGTACTTTTTGCAGAATGCAGTATTGGTTCCTGCACCCACACCATAAAAAGCTGGGAAAACATAGACCTGAGATTTACCTTACCTTCAGGAAATCTTGGTAATAAATTTAACACATTTCCTACGATGGCATCCGGACTGTTTCATGCTATGTAACTTGATAAATACCACTAGGGGAGGGAAAAAATCCCACTGTCCAAATGTAGGCTGATAAATAATGTGACTTCCTTCTTACTTAAAAAGAAGACAAAATTGTGATCTACTTCCCTAACTGCTCTGGAGGTCTGGAAGTACAGAATCAAGAGTCACCTTTTATTGTCCTTAACTCCTGCTCAAGTGGTTCCTTTTATGCCAGCCAAGACATTACTGTTATTCTTCCTTCATCCTCCAGGCAGTCGGGCAATTAGGGCTCGATCCTGCAGGCTGCTGAGCTGCTGCAGGGCGGAGGTGAGTGCTCACAGCACCTTCCTAGAGCACAGCATACTGCACAACAGTATTCTCTGAAATTTCTAAAAAATTTGCTGTGACTTATTGTCCAAACAAAAAGAAGCAGCCCCTGCTGTCACACACCTCTCTAGGTCTGTTTTCCAGGAACATCAAAGCAATTTGCAGTCCTGATATTTTCTTTTTTTTTCCTTTCTTTTTTCTTTTCTTTTCTTTTTTTCTCTTCTTTTCTTTTCTTTTCTTTCAGAATAAATATCTCCTTAATTCATAAGCAATGGGAATATTTTTGGTCCAAAGTACCTGCACATCCATCCATCTGAGGAGGGCAAACAGCCTATAACACATCAGTGTGGTATAACACATCCAATAGATGCAGCCTCACCAGCAGGTATCGAGCAAGCACAAGCAATCATTATCACTTCCCTATGACTTTTTTTTTTCTAAAATGCTAAAAAAACTTCTGCAAATAACCATAAAGAAATTGCAACTGACCTACAGAATGGTAAATCATCAAATAAAGGCCGTCATCACTGCTGCCACATCCCCTACTCTTCTCTCCCTGTGATCTATTGCAGTTTACACAATCAGTTATACTCTTAATTTAGCTGGGATCTAGCTATTTTGGCTAAATCACCTGAATTAATTGGAGTGATGTGATGCCAGCTCTGTGATCTTCCGTGCATACCTCAAGCACTCACAATGACTTAATGCTGCGGTTTCTTCCTCAAGTCCCCTCAGCGACACAATTGCTGCTTCCCTCTTTATTTCTTTCCTAATTATTTGTCATCCTGCTGTTCATTAATATCTAAAGCCTCAGGCTGCCTTATTTATTATTCGCACTGTAATAATGCCTGGAGGCTTCGGCTGAAACAGTGCCCGCTGTTCTGCAAGCCATGGGTATCTGTAGGGATATGCACAGAGGAGCACATATCGCCTTCATGAGACAAGGCTGTTGCAGCAATATAACAGAAACTCAGAGCTAATAACTTCCCCCCAAAATGCAGCTAAATAGCCCTTTAGAAACCAAAGAGAGACTCTACCCATCTGCAGTCGTAGCAGGGAAAGATTGCCAGCATGGAAGGCTGGCCAACATTTTCGCCTGTAATTACAATCTGCCTCCTCTAATCCACCTCCCCTTTTCGAGGAGATAACATATTCCTCGCTTCCTGTCCCAAACTGTTTTCCAGTGACAGATTGCACTCGTGTTGCGTGTCTCCTACTCACTACAGCTAATTAATTTGGGCTCTTAAGGCTCTATCATGCTTTCCTGCCCTCTGGTGTATTCGATCCGAAGCACCCTGAGCGCTTGTGGGGCTCCTCACCCTACAGCTGGTGGAGTCACAGGCAGGTCCCCTAAAAAGTAACTAGCTAAAGTGCATGTGTGCAACCAGCCTAAATTTACCAGATAGCAGGCTGTATCTTTACTAAATTCTGTTGATGTTTCTAAAATTTGTTGTTTTTTCTCCTAAGAAGCCAGAGCTGGGGGTGGTGGGCCTGGGGAAGAGAAGGCCCAGGGGAGAGCTGCCAGCGCCTGCAGGGGGGGCAGGAAAGCTGGGGAGGGACTCTTGGTCAGGGCTGGGGGGACAGGACGAGGGGCACCGGCTGGAGCCTGGCAGGGGGGAGGCTTCAGGAAGAAATTGGGAAGAAATTCTGCCCTCTGAGGGCGCTGAGGGCCTGGCCCAGGCTGCCCAGAGGAGCTGAAGGCGGCTGCCTCAGCCAGGCCGCTCTCTGATCTCCAGTGCTGCTCCTTCGGTCCCTTTGCTGCACACAAACCCCAAAGCCTCTTCTCTTGCTTTATGTTTCTCGCTGTTAGGCACTCAGTCATCAGACAAAACTAAAACAAAAAAAAAAAGGCTTTGGCTAGATGTCAAAGCGATGAGTGCAGTAATGCCAAATAAAGCCCAAGGCCCTGACATTTCATCCTCTCTCTGTCTCCAGACTCCTCCCAGCTCCATTCCTCCCCTCCAGACAAGAGATACACGCACAGCTCTAACCCATGTCAGCATCCTTCTCCAATAAAGCCTCTCAAAAGCACTGCTAGCGTGTTATCAGCCATCACCTCCAGCTGTGGCTGCAGAAACTGAGGCACAAGGGAATCACATTTCCCTCTCCCATTGCCCCCAGATTCAGTAGCAAAGGCACAGGAACTGGGACTTGGACCACCACTGACAGACCACTGGCTTTATGGCTAAGCCCAGCACCAACCACAGACAAAATTTCCTCCTCCCAAAGCCTTCTGCTTTCCTCCCTAGCTCTCAGCCAGGGCTGCATTTCTCCTGTGTGATACCAGGAGTGCCTGGCTCCTGCCCTGACCTTCAGACCAACGTCCTTTCTATTATCATCCCCGGGGACTGTAAATACATCTACTCCGGAAGGCTTTTTTGGAGGTATTTATAGAATAAACACCACTCTCCTTCCTTCACATTGCTGCCTGCTTTTATCTGTGTAGAGAAATAAAAGCCCTGGACATCGTCCAAGCGAAAACCACATCTCCTCCACCAAAACACACCGGACCGAGCGCTGGCTGGGATTTATCAGCCCCTGCCTTACTGCTTGGAGATACAGAGACCTCCAGTTTTCAGGAAAAAGGGGACATGTCCCTCATTTTAGACCTCAGTTTCCCTGCAGCCCCCATGTATTTGGCTGTGCCTCTGCTAATCCAGACACCATGGAAGGCCAATTGAGATCGTGGCAAACAGAGACCGTGGCAAACTTCACCAGCCCCTGTCACAAAATGTGCTCTGAATCTTTTAGGGCCTGTGGGATGGGAACATCCCAGGCTGTTCCACTCCCCAGGTTGGTTTCCCTGGGTGAAAGCCTGGACACAATTTGTACCAGCTCCTTGTGGCGAGCTGCTGCCTCACAAAGGAAGGTTTGCAGAGCTCTGCAGGCACCAGGGGAATGCACACAGACACACACACACACACAGCATCGTTATGGGTTCCCCACCTGCATCCTGAGCATCCCCTTTGCATCCCAACCTTCATCCCAGCCATGCCTGCTGCACCCATTCCCCCAAAAATCCCTCCCTCTGGGCAGGCCTCCCTTTAGGTATCCCAGTTCCCGAGCACCCCTCCTGCACCCAGACCCCCCCAAGCACCCCAAGCTCCCTCCTGCAGCCTGAGCCCTGAACACTCTTCCTATACCCTGAACCCCAAACCCCATTAATCCCAGTTCCCTCCCTCATCCCAGTCCCTAAGCATCCCTCTCTCTGAGCATCCCGGCCTCCAAACATCCCTCCGAGAATCCTTGCTGTATCCTGAAGCCCCTGAGCACCCCAGCCCCTGAGCATCCCTCCCTCTGAGCATCCCAAGCCCTGAGCATCCCTCTCTGTGAGCCCCAAGCCCCAAACGCCTCTCCCGCATCCCTCCCTCTGAGCATCCCTCCTGCATCCCTTCCCCGGAGCATCCCAAGCATCTCTCCAACTCCCAAATACCAAACCCGCATCCCGACCCCCAAACACCCCTCCTTTGAGAATCCATCCTATACCCTGAAACCCCGAGCACCCCAACCTCCGAGCACCCTCTGAGCAGCCCGATCCCCTTAATACCAACCCTGCACCCCGACCCCTAAGAATCCCTCCTGCGTCCTGACCCCCAAATCCCTCTCTCCAGTATCCCTCCTGTATCCTGAAGCCCCAAACATCCCAAACATCCCAAACATTGCATCCCGAGCATCCCTCCAGCATCCCTTCCCCGGAGCATCCCAAACACCCCTCTCTGAGCATCCCTCCCTCGGAGCAGCCCTTCCCAAGAGCATCCCTCACCCTGCGCATCCTTCCATCCTCCACCCTTTTACACCCCAAGCCACCCCCCAGCACCCCATCCCCTGACCTCCCCCCGTCCTCCTGTCCCCCCGTTACCTCCCCCCCAGAGCCGTGCCGAGCCGTGCCAACCCGCTTCGCTCCTCTTTAGGGCAAAAAACCCGCAGCCCTGCGGGCAGCTCCGGGGGCAGGGCGAAGGGAAGGCGACGAAACTACAAATCCCAGCTCTGGCAGCACCGGGAGAGCCGGGCTCGCCGCCCCTTTGCTTCCTCCTCCTCCTCCTCCTCCTCCTCCTGCGGCGCCCGGGCGGGGACGGGGCTCGGCGGGGCCGCAGGTGGGTGCGGGGACAGCAGGGGGGGCTTTTGGGGGGAGCCACCCCATAAGGGGGGAGAGGGATGGCTTGGGGTCACCCCCTTCCCATCCCACCGCCAGCTGGGGAAACTGAGGCACGGGTGGGATTTGGGGAGGGGGGTGCTGCTCGCTGGGCCAGAGGGGCCAGAGGGAGAAGGGCTTTGGGATGCGGGGAGGATTTGGTGGATTTATTCCTATTATTAAATTATAATTATTATAATTATTATTATTATTAGGATGATTTTAGCATTTCATTCTGCTGTAGCGAATTCCCGGCTGTGCAGGGAGGAGCCAGCCCCTCTCAGCATGGCGCAGCACCACCCGGCAAACTTTGTCCTCCCCCCATTTCCCCAATCCCATTTTTCTGCAATTCACGGGTTTTTCAGCACTTTGGGGGACGAAGCTGGCTCTGAGGGCGGCCGGCTTGGATCCTGTCCCCTACCACATTCATCCCACCTCCTCTTCACCCAGAGCTGCACTCTGCTTAACTTCAGCATCTGCAGATGCAGCATTTTGGGGTCGCCTCCATCCCCCAGCAAGCGGCACCAGCCTGGACCCGCTGCCAGGAGATGCTCCAGACCCCAAAGAAGGGAGGTCCTGGCCTTGGAAGGGATGGAGGAGCACGCCAGCGAGTTGGGGATGTTAGGAAAGTCGTGTTCATCCTTCCCCGTGTATTGCTGTGTTTAACGCAGCGTGATTAGAAAATAAACCTCGAGTCACGGGTGAGCTTTTCCTCGAGGCTATAGGGGATGTTTCCTCGAGGCTATAGGGGAAGGGTGAGGTGGCGTTTCCTGCACGGTGCCTGCCGGGAGCTGGAGTCCCTGCCGCAGCTCTCCGCGTCTTGCGGAGGCTGGCAGAGCTCCCTGTGCTCGGCCCGGTGGCCAGAACGATGTGGGATTGATTTCCATCCTAAAGCGACTGGGAAAACATGGGGTTCCCTCTGTAGGATCACAGTAAATAAGCACGTAGTGTGTAGAAGGTGTGTTGCAAACATTTAACCTGCTGGAGCTGAGCATCCACTGAGATCAGTGCGTGCATCAGTGGTACCCTAGAGGAAGGTTAAGCCTCTCCTTGTAACACATTTTATCCCAAATCCTTCCTTAAACCCAGCTCTCACATGCTGCCTGCTGGCTGCTGGGGGCTGCCTCTCACTTGGGAAGCCACGAACCAAGTTTTCCTTTTATTTTTCTTTTCTAAGCCCTTCTTATTTTGTTTTCACTTTCCCTTGGTCATTCTTCGTTATGGCTTTTCTCCAAGCTGTCACCATAGGGTGACTCCTGGACGTCAAAGTGCCTTTTCTCTAGCCCCCATAACACAAATTCCTAGCTGAGGGTCTTGCTTTCCCCTCCTTTTTACTCCAAATCCATCTGGCCCCTCCGGGCTTCCCGCAGCGCATTACCTGGCCGGCCTCGTGCGGCGTTTCTGCAGCCACTGCGGCTCTCTTGGGCAATACCCAAAAGCCAGGGAGGTTTTTTTTAGGCTGGCTTTTCTTCCCGATACTTATCAGAAACAGTCCCCATCTTGCTTTCATCTTATTGCCCCTTAGGTTTTCTTCCTAAATAATTCATCTCTAATTTTTGCTGCGTGTGTGCCTTGCTGCTCGTCGCTACTCCGCAGCTTTTTCTTAACCAAGCTGGGTTTTTCGCTGCCTTAAAGACGGCTTTCCAAAGTTTCAGCCACGAAGGGATGTTTTATGGGTTGGGTACGGAAGGGTACACTAAAATTAATCAGCGAGGCATCTATAGAAAATTAAAATTAAAATGCCCTCCTCCCACATCACATCGCCCTCTGCTGCTCTGCGTTTAATTCATTTCCCTAACGAGATCCTCTGCACGATGCTCTGAGCAGCCTGTTAACCCCGTCTTACCTGCTGCCTCCCCAAAATCCCCCCAAAAGAGTCTTTTTCTTTCCCTGTAAAGGAAAACCTGTGTCCGTAAGCAATTCCTGCTGCTTTTATTTTCTCATTCCCAACAAATACTTGTGCTTTGGTTCACTTCTGAGGGAAACCAAGGCATCGCTACGCCTTTTCCCAAATAAAAACTTCATTTTGTTTTCTCATCTGCTTAGCACCTCTTGTATCTTTTCTCTGCCCTGCCACTATTTCTAGCTTCAGCCACGCTACTTTTATCTTTATTCTGTTAATGCAGAGCCAGTTTTCTCCAAATATTTAATGAGATTGTGAAAGAGAACCAGACGTTCGATCCCTCGGGTTTCATCAACTCGCTGGTTTGGGGTAGATTATTTTTAACTGGAAAGATCAATTTTTATCTGAATCAGGAAGCAGAAAACTCATATTAAAAAAATGGCTTTTCCTGTGCTTTTATATATATATACGCAAATTTATATATTTCTTAAGGAAAGGTCCCTGTTGTTTTTTGCTTTTTGTATTTTGAAAATGATAAAAGCATAATTACAACTTTAGAGTTTACAGCAACCTGCATTTTCTGGCTTAAAAAAAAAAAGGGCAAACTGCAGCTTTGCTCATTTTTCAGAGAGGTTAACCACTCAGCAATAGTTGTGCCACTTGCACCATTTTTACCTAAGGAGGCACATCGTGAATGATGCATTTTTGGATGGCTGTTTGTGCACGTGTGGGTTTTTTTTTCTAAATTGGGTGAAACCGGCACTCCGTTAAATTATACATGCAGAATTTTATTTATGAACTAATTAAAGCACTCTTAAATGCGATGAATAAATAAGAGGGGAAATAAGCTTGCCCAAGGCTGTTTTGCATTGAAAATTATTAAACAAAGGAAGCGTCACAGATAATGAAGGAACTGAGGTGAGGGTTATAAATATGTGAAGATGTTAATTAGTGAAAATGGGTGAATTTTGTCATTTCCCACACCGTTTCCTAGCTTCCTGCTGTGTCAACCCCACGACTCTCCCAGGTTCAGACCAATTATTTGCTGAACTAAACTCCTGGAGTAGAGGCTCCTTATAGAAATGGGCGCTCTGCATCTGCTGAGGATGCTCCTGCCAGTAAAACCCACCTTCAAATTTACAAACCCTGGTCTGCCGAAATGCTCGGAGGCTCAAGCAGCAGCTTTGACTCAGAAGTTGGACTTCTCAATAAAAAATCGCCACAAAGCAAGGCTAGTTTCTCTCAATTTGCATCGCCTGAAGAGATTATGTCTTTAAATAAGTGTAGTTTTTTTATTTATTTATCTCCTTAACACTAAATTACATCTAGTTTTTGAAAGAAAAATGTATTTAAACCCAAATCACTCTGAAAGCATGTAATAATACTATGCTCTTTGGTGAAACTTGCATCTTCAGCTCTCAAATTAGATCTCTAGGTGATCTAATCGGACTGAATTTTAAGTACTGCTTTGGGAGCAGCTCCACAAAAGGCTTTACTGTAATTCTCTTGCTTCCAAGAACCATAACCCAGTTTAGTACTTGGCCTTGGGGACCGCAGGTTACAGCCACCCACGGCCACATCAGATGCTCTCCTGCAGCCTCGTGTTCGTGGAAATGCCACCAAGGAGCAGCGAATGCTGTGCTGTGTTCTTGGAGAGCCTTTCTCTGATATTAGGTCAGATAGGTGCTGAGAGGCCGGAGCCAGACCCTTTTTTTTTTAACGTTACCCATTTCAGATCAGTCTGAGCCGTCTGCCTCATTAATATGTGTGTAACCAGCCGGGTTTGGGATCAGAATAAACTTAGGGTGGATGTTGGGTTTGAAATGGACTCTCTCTTGTCTTCTCACTGAAGATCTGGGCCATCCACTGGTCTTTAGGTTCTTGATGAGAGAATTTGCCAGGAGAAGGCTGTCGCAGACCCACGGAGGAGGGACATCTCGCTGCAGCTGGCAGACAGCATGAGAAAACTCCTCCCGTGGTACCAACAAGCAGGCGTGGGCTCCAAAATCTGCAAACATGACCTATAAAGAAATAACGGGAAAAAAAAATTGGGTTGTTTGGTCTAAAACAGCCTGAGTTTTAGCAGAGGAGGGAAGCTGTGAACGGGCCTTTGGGCCACTGTCAGTCCTGCCTCTGCAATCTGTGTTATTCGCAGGGAGATGTTGGGAACGCTTCTGTTCTCGGCTGAAACTTGAAAAAAAATACGCATTTGGGGCTGGTTTCGTGAATGTCAGACTGTGTTTGTAGCAACGCTTTCACAGGCATATTGCAAGCCCTTAGGGGGGAAAAATACACGGCAGCCACTCGTACAACAGAATTAGACCGGTTGGAGCCGATATAAAATGGGTTTGAAGAGCTCTCGGCTCTAATTTGGGTTGAAGCCTTCAAGAGTGGGAAGTTTGCTGAGACAACAGTGCTGAGGGGAGGGTAACACTGAAACAAACAGCTTTTTTTTCAGGGTGTTTTTGGCTGAAGTTAGTACCAAGGACGGGCTTTGGTCACGGGGGTGGAGTGGGTGCTGTGTTGCTTTCCACGTGTCTTTATTTGCCACTTTTATTGGATGCAGGATCTCTATTGCTTACACAAGCAAAGCCCTCGGTGGATTTGCAAATCTGATTGTTTCCCCTCATTATTGTGCAGTGACAAACGCGCTGTGTGCTAAGGACCAACACGGGCTACAGGGCAGAGGGAAATGTTATACCTGAACTATGTGACTGCAGAGCTGATAACAACGTTATCCTGGCTAGGATTATTCCATGACTATTTAGGCTTAATAAATTTAATTTTAAGGCAGCTGTTGGGCTGCTTTCTGTTGCATGACCATAGCTACTACAGCAAGAGCTACCTCATATCTCTGCAGCAAATACCGATGGGTTCCCTGCTGCTTTTGAAACAGTCAAAATAAAGCTGGGAATGAACTTGTGGATGCAAGCAAACAAGGAAAAACAGCTGTGCGATGGAGCAGCAGCTCCCTAAACTGGCTTAGTGTGGGGTCAGGAAAGTGCTGGAGCTGCAGGAAGGAATAAGGACGGTAAGGTAGCGGGTGAAGGGAGGTATGTTCCCTCCAGAGGCAATGATGCTGAACTGCAGCATAAAATCACATCCTCAGTTTGGCTCAGCTGATTGCAGAGGAGCTGCACAGAAGCTATGCCAGCTGAGGATATGGCCCCAATTAATTAGGAAATGTTTTCTCAGGCAAAGTACGTTGGAAGGAGAAAGTCTGATTTTTTTATTTGTATTTTTTTTTCCTGAATGGTAGCACTTATGGCAGCACAGCTCGCTGGCTCCCTGCTAGGATGACTGCACACAAATGTGTGCTAGGGGGGTTCTGCCACCACAGCTTCGTTGCTTTAATTACATCTTGAGATGCCATGGAAGGTATTGGGAATGTGTCCAGTTCTTGTCCTGCCTTTCTGTTTCCTCTAAATCCTGTGGTCATGAGGGAGATGAGATCAGGTGAGCCTAGGATCTAACTCTTGAAGTCAGCAGTTGTTCTGCTGTAGGCACCTGTGGGAGAGATTTCACATTCAGCATGACTGCAAAGCTTTGGAAAACTCGTGATTTCTGCCACTAAACTGAACTAAACAAAGCCCTGTTAAAGACCCTTAAGAGAAAAAACATCCTGAAGTTTCTTCTCAAGACACATCCGCCAACAACCCAAGTTCCAATTCCTATGATGAATTATTACCCTGTAGTTACCCAGATATATTTAGTACTCTTTTTTTTTTCTTTTTTTTTTCCCTGTTCCTTTTGAGCAGGTTAATGCAGCTGAATGTGTGGTGTTGGATTTTTATTTTTATTTTTTAGAGTTAGCCCCAGCACCGCGGCTTTTCCGTCATGTCAGAACCCATCACGCTCAATGTGGGAGGGAAACTCTACACCACCTCCCTGTCCACCCTGACTAGCTTTCCAGACTCCATGCTGGGGGCCATGTTCAGTGGGAAGATGCCCACCAAGAAGGACAGCCAAGGCAACTGCTTCATCGACAGAGACGGCAAAATCTTCCGCTACATCCTCAACTTCTTACGAACTTCTCACTTGGACCTCCCCGAGGACTTTCAGGAAATGGGCTTGCTTCGGCGGGAGGTGGATTTTTATCAAATCCAGCCTCTGATCGAGGCCTTGCAGGAGAAGGAGGTGGAGCTTTCCAAAGCGGAGAAAAACGCCATGCTCAACATCAGCCTCGACCAGAAGACCCAGACCGTTCACTTCACCGTCCGAGAAGCGCCCCAGATCTACAGCCTCTCCTCCTCCAACATGGAAGTCTTCAGCGCCTATATCTTCTCCACTTCGTGCCTCTTCCTGAAGCTTCTCGGTTCCAAACTTTACTACTGCTTCAACGGAAACCTCTCGTCCATATCCAGCTACCTGCAGGACCCCAACCATTTGACCTTAGATTGGGTTGCGAGCGTGGAGGGCCTTCCCGAAGAGGAGTACACACGGCAGAACTTGAAGAGACTCTGGGTGGTGCCTGACAATAAGCAGATCAACAGCTTCCAGGTGTTTGTGGAAGAAGTGCTCAAAATAGCCCTGAGCGATGGCTTCTGCATAGATTCTTCTCACCCACACACTTCGGATTTCATGAATAATAAGATTATTCGCCTGATTCGATACAAGTAGGAAGGGCTGTTGATGGTGGTGCCGGCGTGGAGATAACACAGGTTAAGTGTTTCCCTCTAAAACACACTTACAGCCTAATTCAGAATCGTGCTTGCCTGGATTAAGAGCCACTAACAGGGAGATGATTTTCCTTTAATGTATTTACCGATGCCATCTTCCAGAATATGGCCATATTCTAAGCAGGAGGAATATTGTCTAACACCTGAATTCAGGGTTGGTTCTGTCTCTGCCTCCACCTCTAACCTGCTGTACAACTGTGGGGAAAATCACTGAACTTCTACCCTTCCTACGTTCTCCGGTTGGAAAATGGGATGGTCCTTAACCTATCCTGCAAGGGTGATGCGAATGTTCAGTCATCAAGATCTGGAGAGTAGCTGGAGACCTGACGCGGTGAAAGAAGCCATGGAGCTACACTCCAGCGGGCACATTTTCCTTCTCTTACCATGCCACCTGCGTGGAGCACGCAAGAAACTTGTTGGATCCACAGAGAAGAAGCCTCGCCACATGGACTCATCCAATATTGCTGCAAAGGACAGTGCGAACTGCACATGAGTAGGGGATCCTGTCCTATCGCCATCTGAAGGTGACTTTTTTTCCTGAACCCTGGGAGGAAGCCTGTTCTGCTTTCAGGGAAGCCGTGTTTGAATGATGTGCCTGACACTGGGAACGACCAAGAAAGCCATAAGAGAGAGAATGATGTTCTTAAAAATTGAGAAGATTGTGTCTGTTGGGGAACTTTGCTTTGGATGCTCTTAAACCTTTACATTCCAAAGTCATCCGAGACCACTGGTCCTTTTCCTTCCCTCACAACGCTATAATTTGTCCTGAGGATGCTCCGAAAACTCTTAAGAGGTGAAGACATCAAGAGGGCAGAGGACCCCAAATAAATTCTGAACGGTTGAACCTCTTCTGCCTGGACACGGCCTTCTTTTGGCCATGTCAACCAGCATGGGATGGTTTCGAGGTAGGCTGGATTCCATCTGAAAGGACTATTTTTCCATCATTACCCCCAGTATTTCTAATTACAAAGCTAGGGGCTCGTTTTTGCTGCACATTGAGCCATTTATGATGTCCTTGTGAACAGTCAGGCTGCTAAGGCAGCATTTTGCCTTCTTGCTGGGATTTCCTGTCCAGTCGTCAGAAAGATTAGGCAGGAGGAAACCAGAGGTGACGACAGTGGTCAAGCCCTTTCCTAAAAGCTTGGCCTGGTGCTACGGTGATCGAAATGATGATTAGCTCATCTGTGCCACGTTCAAGGTGGTTCATTCTCAGCTAATTACGTTTAGAAATATTTTAGGTGTCCCTAACCAGATTGCATGAGAGACCCCCCCGGAACATTTCCCGTAACCTCTAATGAGATAGGAGGGAAAATGCAATAACCAACTTCTGCATTTGTAATTTTATTGCTTCCAAAAGTTCTCGGTAGGGGGCTGCAAAGCTCAGTGTTGCTCATGTTCTCGTTTCCCAAAGCAGCCAGTTGTTGCTGTGTTAAGCTGACCAGTAAGCAGCATAAAAGTGTTTTGTACTGTTGTAAAAACAGCAAGAGAAATAGAATAAATAACTTCTACTTCCCAAGCTGTAATTGCATGAACAACACAAATCAGCATGCTGCTGGTGAAAATGCACATTCCGTAGTTATTAGCAACCTACTGTAAGCTTCTTTCCCTGTCTGCCATGGTGCTAGACCCACCAGCACGATGATGGAAGTGGGACCATGTTGTTAGGAAGCGCTGACTGGGATTGAAAACCACGGAACCATTAAACCTGGCCAGTTTTGTGAGCCTTGAGGATGGTAAACAGTACGTTGTGACCAAATTCCAGCTTGTGGCACCATTCTTCGGGGTTAGGAAGCAGTAGGAAGAACTTTTTTTCCCCACTCCTGCCCTGAACTGTGAAGCAGAAGTCATCTGTTCTAGGGGTTGCAGCGTGTCACTGACAAAGCAAAGCAAGAGCAATGTGAATCTTATTTCTGCCACGAGTTTGCCGCTCATTTGGACATTCACAGCGATGATCTATGCATGTGATCTTATTGTGATCTGTAAAATGCCACACCTGAACCCTCCTTCATCAAATCTATGCCTTCAAAATAGGTATGCCCTTGCTGAATTTATGGTAATAGTTTTTGGGGGATGTCAACCGCATGTTTTTTAAACTCAGTACTCAAAAGAAAAGTTTTCTTTCAGCTTATTTCGTTTAATTAGTTTAATTAAATCAACGTAATTAGTTTCCTTTCAGCTTGAGTTAATCAAGGGGCAAGAACAGTGTGCTTAAATCTCATTTGAAAGGGTGTGGGGGAAGGTCTGATCAACACCCCTTCGAGCTCTGGATTGGTACTGCCTCATTCTGTTTCAGATAATAATAAAGAAAAAGAGCTGAATCATTCATTTTCTGGTGAAAGGCATGTAAGAAGCGGCACCAAAAGCACTATGCATAGCTTTACAGAGAGCTCTAAGCCTCCGTTTTGCCCCCACCCCTTTTTCTTTTCTTCAGACAGCAGCAGAGCCCACACTAAAAGCAGTCAGATAGCTCTTTAAAAATCTGGGCAAGTGAAGAGTGCCCCAACGTGGCCCTAGTAACTGGGGCAATCTGCTGAGATGGAAATACGGGTTTGAGTCTCCACAGATCAAGGAGAGAACTGATCCAGATCCTCATCTGGAGAGCTTGAACCCATCAGGATATTATGCAAAAGATGGACAGCTTGAATCAACATTTTTCTGTGCTCAGGTAATTAAATCAGGCAAGAGTAGGGTTGACCACAGATCTCTGACATTTATTGATATGCAGAGAAATGTCCAACCAGCGTAAGGACAGGAATGAAAACAGGCTTTGGGAGCTACACAAAAGCTTGAAATAGCTCTAAATTGTTAAATGGAATAAACATCTTTGAGAAGGAGGTATTATTTATAGCACCACAGCAGTTCTGCGTGCTAACAAGTATGTGAAGTAAGTGCTAAGCTGGGATTGCAATCAAACATATGTTATACAAATGGAGTTGCTATTTCAGCGGACGTGCTAAGCTAAATATATAGCTGCTCCCTAATTTTGCGCTCTGATTTATGTTGTAATGACTGTTTGGAGGCACATTCTCTCTCGGAAGCATTTGTTCCCTTGTTATCTTGATAGCTAGCTTTTGCTTACCTTCTGTTTCTGAGCCCGAGGGGTGTAACTTGCTTTTCTTTCACCACTCAGCAGCACTGGGGATTCTTGTTCTCTGCAGTTCTCCTGAGTTAAAGAAAAATAAACATGCACAAAGCCATATCAAGTGCTTAGGGTACAGCACAACCTCATCTCTAGTCGTGGAAAGCACTTGACGTTGATTAGCAGTAACATCTACAAATTATTTCACTGTTGGAGTTGAATATTCCCTCTGAGAACAAACTTATTTTTTTCCTTAAAACAAGGAAAGAATCTTTCTTCCCCTTAAAGTTTGAAGGATGGCTTCTTCCACATCTCAGAGCTTATCTCCCGTTCTGATTCTGCCATCAGCCCGTCTCCCTCACCACCTCCATCTGTAAAATGAGGCTGAGATGCACTTTATTTTTTTTTTTAATGGCCTAAATGCTGAGAGAGTCACTGGGTACAGAGATCAATAGTTTCAGGGCAGAAAAACATCAGAGTTAGGGCAGATGATAAATAAGTTATTAGCTGTACCATAATGGCATCTTCAGACATGTGCATGTCCATGGCACAGTGGGATTTCTTGTAAGACAGAAAGATTATTATAAAGCATCTTAGTGGAGTCCAGAAAGAATCAGTCATGGATTTATTTTACGTGTTTTTTTGGCTTGATATCGCTTAATTGTCTAATAATGCCCAGTTACGATAAAAGGACTGAAATCATACCTGAATACTAAGATGTCTTTGGGTCATGCTGCTGTTCTTCAGAGTCATTAGGAGACAGTGAGAGGAGTGTTTGCTTCTGCAGGTGGTGGTAGGGAAATAAAAGGTGTAAAATTAGACCTGGAGGAATTCTTAAGTTAACAAGAATGTGAAGGGGGAGAATAAAGGATCTAGGTGCGTTCAGGAAAAGAAAACAGCAAGGTAACAATGGAGACAAAGATTTTGTTGTGGAAGAAGGCTGTGATTAAAATGACTCCCTGGTCCTCTCCAGTTTTAATCTCTTGTTAAGCAACTTAAATATTGTCCATGCCAACAGTTACGCTAGTACCCTGTCAGATGCAGACAGCTTTGCTTAAATTTGCACGTGCTTTAAATCGCCAAGCATATGCACTGCTGTAGTTACCCGTGTTTTAACTTGGATGCTGAATGTAAATCGCTACTCGAGTTTACTGGCAGTAAATATCTGCAATCAATCAGATTCATTCCCAGTCATAGAAAGGCTGGTGGGGACTGTACGTAAAGTTCAAAGGGTTGATAAATACGGCCTTCAGCCCATGCCACGGACTGTGTAAAATAAATCTACGATCTTCTGATACTTCACGGATAAATGGAGAAGTTATGAAGAAGACTTCTTTTGGAAGCACCCCATCCCTTTTAACTTGGTGTCACTGCCCAGAATTTCCACGTCTTTGGGAACATGAAACTGTCCTTTAATATCTCCTTTAAAATTCTTTAATATCTCCTTTACCCACGCACTGCTGGTCACAAACGTGCAGGGTACGAGCAGTGCTAATTAATATGTGATGCCCCCGTAAAAGTCTCATGTGTGAATTAGTACAGTCAGACATGTCTGTGTTCTGTGTGAGAAGGGCTGGATCGAGTAGATCATGCTGTCAGATTCACTCAGGAATAATAGGAGCAATGGTTTTCCTATGGATTCAAAAATTTAAAATAAAAAAAAAAGAAGGAACTACAGGGGAGGGCTCCATGGAGTAAATAATTTATTTTCTCTCTTACTTTCTTGTTCTTAATCCTAATTTGGGATTTTTGGGGATTTTTCTGTTGATCAGAACTCGGTCCCTGATTCACTAAGAGCTATACTTTTGAATGAATGTTTTTTGGAAGGTGTCAAAAGATGGTTTGACTTTCTTACCACTTTTATAGGGAGCCTGTAGGGTATCACACTTGAAAATCTGGTTGCATTTATCTGCCTGTAAGTCTTCTGTGAACTGTTACTAATATGTATTTTTGAAGACAGTAAATAAAATGTGAATGAAGCAGTAGATGCTCTGCATGTTATTAGATGCTCACATATTATTAACATGATTTCAAGGTGCCCCTATGAGTACTGTTCCTAGAAGGACAGAGGTTTGCTATAAGCAACCAAAAACCCATCCTCTTTGCATATATCTGCCCTCTAGGCTGGCAGAACTATCAAATGGAGCATGTTCCTCTCGAAGAGCACACCTAAAAGGGGACTCAACTCCCAGAGACACTGTTTGGAGATGGTACCTCCCTGGAAGAGGGCTAAGATTGTAGGTTTTGAAGTGGCTTCTGCTCGATTCAAGGGAATTGTTGGCATGAGAGCTGCTACACAATTTCTTCCAACCTTAATGCACCCACAAACACCATGCTTCTTGTCCTAAGGGGGAACCTTTCACAAATCAGATCGATAGGGTTAAACCTGTGCTGATGTGTAGATTGGCATGGGGGGCTACCCAGCACACTGCCCATTGCCACAAAGGAACAACGAGAGAGACCCTAAAAGATCACCCAAATCCAGTGTGAGCCAGATCCCTCCGTCTCTTTGACCATATCCCAGGGTTGTCCTGGAAGAAGCAGCAGCTGATGATGAACCCTGTAGGAACATCATTTCTCCGCTCTAGTAAAAACGGAGAAGGAGCATGAAGGGAGGGAGATTGGGCAGTGCTTGGACAACGCCAACCCTTCATGAGACCAGTAATGATGGACACACAACCACCACCACAGGCTGTCCCCTCCTCACGGAGGTGCTGGCCACCAGGATCGGCTCAAGCCCTGGCAGCAAATACAGCGTCAGTGTGGCTCCACACCACCCAACCCCACATCCCGCAGGTCCAACACAACCCAATACCCCTGGTGGGCCCACAAGAGCCAACCCTGTGCCTAGTCCCACAGCTCTGAACCCCATGCTTTCTCCTACACCATGCCTGACCCCGTAACACCCAGCACCAATCCTGACCCCACAACACCCAGTTTCACTCCCAAACTCAAGGGGAAGACGTATGGGGGATGGCTGAGGGCACTTCATGTGTTTAGCCCAGGGAAGAGGAGGCTGTGGGGACGTGAGAAACAAAGTTGTGTTTTTTTAGCAGTAGAGAGTTACTTTTCTGTATTCCAAGGTAGTTGTGTAGTCATAATAAGGAGAAAGGCTAAGTAGGTAAGTGGACAGTAGAAGGCCTCACTGCTCCAAAATAAGGTAGAAGCTGGAGAAAAACAGGATGAGCAGTGTGAGAATAGTAAAACAAAGATCACAAGTTTTCAAAACAGAAGGAGAAATTAAAGGGTTGAAAAAAAAAATGTACTTATATGGTATAGAAGAGAGTTGAGTAGGTTGTGAACCTGTAGTAGTCAGGCAATGAGGAAACGGGAGGTGGTCAGGCATCGGGTGATAGGGGATAAAAGGTTATGATTTGATTACTAAAATGCGCTCCTGATTGACAGGACACCCATCATTGAAATAAAATAGTCTCACAGAAGAGCCCGTCCGAAGAAAATTATTTGAGGTTTTTCTCACAGGGACACCCCCTGGGTGTTAGGGCAAAGTTAGGGTGGTTGTCCACTATGACAGGGCCGTGCTCACAGCACCGCGCCTGCAGGACCTCAAGGAGCATTCAGACACCGCTTTCAGGCACAGAATTTTATTTTTATGTGGTGCAGCGTGGAGCCAAGAGCCGCGCTCCCAACCCCTCTGTGCCCCTCCAAGCACCGCCATTCCCCCCCCACCTCCATGGCTCCCCTCAGGCCCAGCCCTGGCGCATGCGCGGGGGGGGGCGGGCGCGTAATGGCGGCGGGCCCATAATGGCGGCGGGCGGGAGGAGCTGGTTCGGAGCCCTGGCGCTCGGCGTCTCCTTTCTCAAGTGCCTCCTCATCCCCACGTAGTAAGAAAGAAAGGGACAGGGATGGGAGGCTGCTGGCTCTGCCCCTGCTCGGGTTCGGGGATCCATTCGGTGTGGGGACAGCCCCGGGGGGGGGTTGCTCCCCTCAGCTATTGCTGGCACTGGGGTGCCGCCTCCTCATCCTCTGGGCGATGTAAAAGGGGATTAAGTTTGGGTTTAACAGTGTTCACAGCCAACCTGGCTGTTGTTCGGGGGCTTTAATACGCTGAAACAGGCACGCTTTTTCATTACTAGGGGGAAAAATGCAAAAATGCAGCTTTTTCCTCAGAAATTTTAAGTTGCTTTTAAAAAGTCAGTAACCCCAGGAATTTTAGCGTTAATTGTAAGAAAAGTCTGAGCTATAAGTCGTTCCTGACCAAAATATACCTATATTATACCTACAGTATACCTTGTCCTATATCTATCAGTGTCCGGGGTACAAAGTTTGTGCAGCATCTCTGTTACTGCCCAAATTATTTGGGCAATTATTTGTCAGAGTCTGGGAGCTTGGTGGCGTAGGCCCCCTATTTATCTGCCTCTGGCCTTGTATTCAGTAATGTTTCTCCTTCAGGTGCATGCGTCTGACTTAACATAAACCTTTTGCAGTCATTCCACAGATTTTGAAGTGCACAGGAATTGGCTCGCCATCACGCACAACTTACCTCTCTCTCAGTGGTATTATGAAGTAAGTTTCTTTAGGGGGAAAGGGTTTCATGTTCTTTTATTAGTTGTGTATAAGTTATAGATATATTGGTTATGCCAGCCTCTCTCAATGCTAGAGGAAAAAAAAACTTTATTTGCAGAACATACATGCCTGGGATACTGATGGCTGGCAGCTGGATAACAGTGCTATAGAAGCTTATCAATCCCAATTAATTGGCCCTATATAATGCTTAAGAAAAGAATTGTTTGGGACAGCTGCTAATACTTATGAAGGCAAACTGGGAAAGACAATTAATGCACATGGTTTATTAGAAAGGCTGCCTAACACAGGAACAAGCTGTGTGGTCTTGCATTGTTGCTGTCTTCGCTGTTGTCATTAATAATTCATAGTTATTGTAATAAAAACAAATCTCGTAAAGGGGTTTGTGCATTATGAAGTTAATCAGTTTATTAAAGTTAGGATGCTCTGCTGGTATTCTACAAGCATGCATTGATTTTAACCTGGATGGATCACCTTCAACTTGATGATAGATTAAAACCCAGTTGTGTAGGCTCACTATCTCAAGATATTTCTTTGAGTTCTGGGATAAAGATCAGTCTCTAGGACTCCACATAATAATTTGGGAACTGTACATCCAGAGATAAATGATGTGTGATAAATGATGTGTGTGGGTCACAACTTTCCAACAGGCTGATCTAATAATGTGAGAGATTAATATTGGTCAGGGCGTAACAACTGTCCTTTTTAGAAAAGCTTAAATAAAACTTTTGAATTGAAAAGGGGTTATTAGATGTAAAGTATGAAAAATAATTTTGAGTCCAAGAAGACTGATTGCGCTGGTGGTTTCTTTCATGCAGACAAAAGATAAGATTGAGATAAAATGTCAATTGATTTGATGTCATGAACTACATATGAGGACTGCAAACAGCACAGGTTGTGTTAAATTATTTATTCTCATTCTATCTTCAGGCAACTTCAGAATGGACCCTGGATTATCCGCCTTTTTTTGCTTGGTTTGAGTACGCGCTCTCACATATTGCCAAGTACTTTGACCCCAAGATGTTGGTCATTGAAAATCTGAATTACAGCAGTCACGCAACCATCTTCTTCCAAAGATTTTCTGTCATCTTTACGGATATCCTTTTCATCTATGCAGTTCATGAGTAAGTCTTAATGATCTGATTGTAGGGACAGTGAGTTCAGTATTCTAACTTCTAGAGTAACATCAAAATTATTTGTACAATTAAGCTTGTAGATGCATGGAATCATCAAAGGTGCTTTAACCTACTCAAGGGACAACTATGGAACATGCTGCTAAATGCAAGATAACGTTGTGTTTCCCTTGGAGATGCTACTGCTATAGATGTCATCAAATTTCTATGCCTTCAGACATCAGCTGCCATTTCACACTCTGGGTATCTGGGTTCTGTGATGGGTTCACTTTGTAGGAGCTCTGGGTCAGTTTGGGTGAGCCCAAGTGTTTTTGCCTATTTTGTTATCACTCTGTCCTTCTAGAATAGAAGTGTATAAGAAACCTGTGATGAAATTTTAAGTATGATCTCAAATATGCTAAGTCACTCCAGTGTTTTTGATGTTCTTGATGATAAATTGTTTCAAGTTTAACTTAGCATTATTAAGATTCTGTGCTTTTAGGGTGCCCTGGATTTCTGAGGGGGAAGAATGATGCTACTCATAGCAACAAAACACATCACCCATGGTCTTTTAATCTGACCTTCAACGTATGAACCAAATGGCTTCACACTGAAGTTATAGGATGTTCTTAGCCAGTAAGCATGTAGCTCACGGTTCTGGGGGAAAGCCACAAAGAGGTTAATGCCCCAGCTGGGGACTTTAAATACAACCCAGTGCGCTGTCTCCAGGTACAGCAATACTCTGGTCTTTCATAAGAAGCTGACAGCAAACAGACAGTAAAAACTAGTGTTAAAATTGAAGAGGAGATGTGGCCGAGACCAAGCTACTTAACAAAACTTAGTGTGTGGGGAAAAAAAATATGGCTACTGGTATTTTAAATCCTTTTATTTTTTCTACTAAACTTTATCCATAACGTTCTATTCTCCTGATGAGTTTAACAGGAACTCTGTCATTGTCTTCCAGCCATGCGATATCCTCAGGTTAAGTGCATGTCTCAACTTTTAAAAGCAATGTGGTTTCGTTAATTATTTCAATTAAGACTTAACGTTTCTTCTGTTGTTTTTCAGATGCTGCCGATGTGTAAATGGGAAGCGCTCTGCAAAGGATATTTTGGAAAAACCAACGTTTATTCTTGCTGTTCTGCTCTTGTGGAACTTCGGGCTGTTAATTGTGGATCGTATCCTTTCAAACCAGTAGTTTGTGCAGTTTTCAACCTGTTACAGCGTGTGGTACAAACCCTTGGGTTTTATTTTTACTGTAACAGCAAGTAACACTGCTTTTTGTGTTCTAGTTGAATAACTTCATGTTTTCTTGGCAATTATTATTTGTC